ACGGCGACGTTCGGCGCGGCGGCGTCGAGGCCGAAGGTGACGACGGTGCCGCCGGGCGTGACGACGAGGTTCGCGGGCAGCCGGAGCTTCGTGACCTTGAAGGCCGCGCGGACGCTCCCGCCGTCGACGCCGCGGACGCGCGCGGACCGGAGCCCCCGCATGATCGACGGCCACCGCGGAACGTCCCCGAGGACCTGCGCGGGCGCCGAACGCTCCGACGCGACGCCCACGCGCGCGACGAGCGCGCGCGCGCCGTCCGATCGCGGCCCGAAACCGACGTCGACGCGACCGAGCGACCGACGTCTCCGGCGCGGCCGCGCGCGGCGAGCACGGCCTCGGGCGCGAGCGCGCTGTCGACGACGACGGCGGCCTCGCCGGCGCGGCCGGCGACGGACCGCCGCTCGACGCGGCCCTCGGCCGCGAGGCGCGCCAGCTCGTCGTCGCTCAGCGACGGCATGCCGCCGCGAGGGAGCGCGGCAGCCGCACCGCCGGCGCCCGCGCCGCCGGCCGCGGAGAGCGACGTGCGTCCGCGGGGGAGCGCCACAGGGCCGACGTAGCTTTGCGCGTGGCGCGAAGCCAACACGAGCGCGACGAGGCCTCGAAGCATCGTCCAGCTCACAGTGCTATGAGCTGCCCCTGCTGACTGGACCAAGGTGCCGTACCAGTGTGGAGCGCCGCGTGAATCGGATCTGGTGAAGGTGGCTCATTACCCCAGTACGACGTGCGGTAAATAAGTCGGCGATGCCCTGCTTCGTCCGCGGCGCCAACGGCAGCTGCGCCGCGCAGATCGACGCGCGTGAAGAAATATGAGCTTCCGACGATCGACCGCGCATTCTTTCGGCGTCCACTGCCAGTGGCGGACTCGGTCGCCGAGGCGGACGCTCGGTGGGCGGCTACCTTCGGCCGAGGCTTTCTGTCGAAGGCAGACAGCGATTTCGTCGAGTGGCGAGAAGGATTTCAATTGAGAAACGTGACGGGCGTCGGAGCCGTAACAGTTGACGGCTGGTTTCCTGTTCCTCGTGCATTCGACTCGGACGCGCTCCATTGGCGTGATTTCGCTCCTCCCCATTTCTACGGCGACGCTGAGGAGCGACGCGAATTCGGCGTGGACGACGTCGTCTTTTACGTGCTTCGGCACGCGTCCTGAGGTCGAGATCGCCGCGGCCGGACGGAGCCTCCTGGCGTCTCCGGCTTTGCCGCTCTCGGGGCGATTTATCCCGAGTGTAATTCGCTGGTGATTTGCCGCCGGCGGCGGTGCCCGGGCGATTGAAAGAAGGTCACATCCGGTGCTGCGTCGACTACGTCGAGTCAGACTAGCCTGGGTCGCTGTGGAGGAGCCTACGCGGGTTCGCACCCACCAACCGTCCGTGAAGGCCGCGGTACCAGAGCTTCAGCCGCATCCCTGGGGGGTGCTCACATGACGGCGCAGCCCTGGTCCGCGCCCTGCGTGCACGCGACGCTCCCGCAGCCGATGTCGGAGACGTAGAGCTCGTCGTCCCCGTCGTCCGGGACCTTGGGCGCGGCGGCCTCGCCGTCGTTGAGGTTGCTCGTCGGCAGGTCCTCGATTTTGTGCGAGTCACTGACCGTCCGCCCGTTGGAGACGAACCTGCGGGGCGCGGCGCGCGTCCGCGGGGGCGGGCGCGGCGCGCGGCGCGCGCCTGAACTCGTCCTTGGAGAGCTCCTTGCCCTCCTGCTCGTTGAATTTGCGCGTGTACTCGGCCATGACCTGCGGTGCGGCGCGTCCCCGCGCCACGCTCCGCGGGAGGGGGAGCGGGCGGCGCGCGCACCTCCTCCATGGAGGCGTCCTTCGGGACGTTGAGGATGAGGTCCTTGCCCGTGGTCTTGTCGCGCGCGCGGATGGTCACCATCTCGCGATGGTCCGCGTCGGCGCGCATGGCGCGGGCGGACGTCGGCGCGCGGCGCCCCGAGAGAGGCGCCCCCTCCGCCGGTGGCCGACGGCGTCGGGGCTGCCCGCGCGTCTGCACTGCTGTCCACAATTACAATTCAACATTACGAAAACGACGATGTTGTTGCAATTCAACCTTGACCCACCACCAGCCCTATTCCCAGCGCCGGCCGCCCGGGCTGCTCGCGTCGGACCGCCGCGGCGCCGCTCGCCCCCGCCCCCCCCTCCCGGCCCATGGCGGCGGCGACCGCCGGCGCCGCCCGGCGCCGCCCCTGGTCGCCCGAGTTCCAGGACCTCATGCTCTACGCCTTCTTCCTCGCGGCGCTCTGCACGTCGAACGTCGCGAACAGCAGCAGCGCGCCCTACTACATGCGGCGCAACCTCGAGGACCTCTTCCTCGCCAACGAGTTCGAGCCCAACGTCGCCTTCGGCGGCGTCGCGTCGCGGAGCCAGATCCTGGCCTGGACGCGCGACGTCGCCGTCGCCTACGCGCAGCCCGATTCGGCGTGGTCCGGCGGCGGCGTCGCGAGCGGCCGCTTCCTCGCCGACGGAGTCACGCTCCGCGTCGGCCCCCTCCGCCTCCGGGTCGTCCGCGTCCGCGACGGCTCCTGCGCCGCGAACGGCCGCCTCGGCGCGCGCGGCCGCCTCGACGTCGCCGGCTGCCACGCGCCCTACTCCTGCGACGCCGCCGACGCGAGCGACTTCGCCGGCGGCGGTCTCGCCGTGGCGCACCGGACGAGCCGCGAGACGCGCGAGCTGCCCTACACGTCCGCGGTGACGGGCATCACCTACTGCGGCGGCGGGCAGGCCGCCGGCCGCGCCGAAAAAAGCGCGACGGCTTCGGCCGCGCGCCGCGCGCCCCCCCCCCCC